CCAGTGGGAACAGAGAAGCAGAAAGTGGATGCATGTATGGTAGTTTTTGACATTTAGAGATATAATGCTTGTTGAGTGAATTAATGTAGCTCCTTTGTGCTGGGAGTCCTTGGTAATGTTTTTTTGGCGATAGTTATGCTTCGATGAGTCTTAGTTATAATCAGAATGTAAATTGTTTTTCATATAAGGAAATTTCTGAGTAAAGCCATTGGGTACAGTAGAGCAGAATCCCGGCACGTGTGCTATATTGCTTGATGACATGAATTATTTCAGTTCTTTTGAGCTAGATGTCCTTGTAACTATTTCTTCTACATAATAATTACTCGATGTTATTTTGTTATAATCCGAATAATATACAACTTGTTAATCTGGCTTCAGATATCACTTTCTTGCTCATGGACATGTATAAGATATTGTAATTCGTAACATATACTCATAGTTCTGAAATGAATTTATGCATATTCAGGTAGATTTTGATGACATAACAAGCTGGGAGTATCTCTTTAAGGTTTATTGGGTAATCTTAAAGGAGAAGTTGTCACTGACACTTGGTGATTTGACTCGAGCTAAAAACCCCTGGAAAAGTGTGCCGACTATAGTTCACAAGCCGGTGACTAGTAATGAGGTTACTAGTGCAGTCAGTGTGGATGTTCCCGTTTTACCAACCCGTTCAGAAATTTTGGAGTTGAAACAGCTCGAAACAACTCCTCCACCAAGCACTGAGATGAATGTGGAGAAAACAAATAATGATATTGGCGATCATGTGCCAGCTCATGATAAAGACACCCCAAAACCAGTCATGGATGAAGTCAAAGGTGAGACGAGCATCGAGAAAACGTCTGATGAAGTCAAAGCTGAGAAGAGCATTGAGAAAGCTTCTGATGTTGCATGCACTAAGGAAGCCGCTCATGAATCAGTGATCAAGAAAGGTGAAGAGAATAATAATACCCAAGTTACTGAGACGAGGTGCCTGTGCAAGAACACCACTGACAACAAAGAACCCGACAAGCAAGAAATTCACAACACTAATACCGAGTGGGCAACTAAGGATTTATTGGAGTTTGTTGCCCATATGAAAAACGGCGACACGTCACTTATATCTCAGTTTGACGTGCAGACACTGCTGCTCGACTACATAAAGAAGAACAACCTGCGGGACCCACGTCGGAAGAGCCAGATCGTGTGCGATCAGAGGCTAAGAAACTTGTTCGGCAAGCCACGTGTAGGCCACATTGAGATGCTGAAACTTCTCGAGTTTCACTTTCTCGTCAAGGAAGACTCGAAGAAGGATTGTTTTATTCCGGCAGGGCTTGTTAGTAGTTCGCATGCTCCTGAGGTGGAGGTTGGTGGGGATACTCACGGAGTGCAAGTGGTGGCAAACAGTAGAAAGCGGAAAGCATGTAAAAAGAGTGACCAGAGAGCACCACAACAACAGAAAAACTTGGACGAATACGCGGCAATTGACGCTCACAACATGAACTTGGTCTATTTGAGGTGTAAATTTATGGAGAATCTTCTTGATGGTTGTGAGAACTTCAGCGATAAGGTTATCGGTTCTATTGTGAGGATTAGAATATCGAGTAATGATCAGAAGCCAGAAATACACCGGCTCGTCCGGGTAGTAGGTAAAGTGCATTACATCTATGTAAAATGCATGCTTTGGCTTGTTTTTCTTCCTCCTTGCATTGGCCTGATTTTGTTTTCGTGTTTACGTGTTTGATTCAGGGACTACTAAGGTTGACGAGCCGTATAAAGTTGGCGGCAGGACAGCAGATTTCATGCTTGAAGTTTTAAACTTAGACAAGAAAGAAGTTGTATCAATTAATGCCGTTTCGGATCAAGACTTTACAGAGGTATTATAGATGCAAAATTATTTACAAACGATGATGCATTGTTAAGATCATTTATTCAATCTTTCAAGCTCAGGTTTCTTTTTCTTTTTTTACCATTTAAATAAGAGAAATGCTATAGGTACATAATAATGTACAAAGGGGTGTACATAACACTCACATTGAGTGGGACCTACCAAAAATAAAAAAATCAAGTGACCCCACTCCCTTGGAGTGTTATGTACACCTCTTATGTACATATATTATATACTTGTAGCATTCTCCTTTAATAAATATGTTTCTGCTAAAGGCATATCAAGCTATTAACTCTTAGGTAGGAATTTATGCCAGTTGATGTTGAATTTACCCATCATTAGGTAATTTAATTTAATAAATGATTATCATTTCTTACTATATTGGTGATTGTATCTGCATGTAACAAAGAAGGTACTGATCAGGTGAATTCCCATCTTTATGTATCTCTTTGAATATACTATTACACCAATGTGATCTCCATCTTATGAATCTCTTTTAATATGTTATTTGCCGGGACATAATCTTTTTTTTTTTTTTTTTTTTTTTTTTTTTTTTTTTTGTATTCAGGATGAATGCAAACGGCTACGTCAAAGTATAAGATGCGGGCTTGTGAAACACTATACTGTTGTGAGTACTCATTTGGTTATTTGTCTCAAATTATTCTTATATGAATCCTGAATTCCTAATTCCATTGTATGACATTTGTTTCTGCTTGCAGGGTGAGATACAAAATAAAGCTTTGATTCTCCAACCTGTAAGGGTCGATGATGTGAGTTTCTTGGTTCTAACCTTCCTAAATTAGTTCTCGGGATTTATTTCTTCCGCTATGATTTTAATGTTCGGTTAATCTCAAAACAGTTGCTGGAGGCAGAGATATCGCGGTTAAATCATTTAAGAGATCGAGCTAGCGAGAATGGACGCAAGAAAGAATATCCTTTGCTTAAAAACACTTCCTTTATGTCAGTGTATACATGTGTTTAAAGCTCTGGATAAATTGAAGTTGTAAAATGTGTTGCATAAAAACATTATTATTATTTTGAAAAAAAATGAAATATGAAGCAGCTCTATGGTTTTCTTTATGTATTTTAATCAGGTCATTTCAAAATATGCGTTGAGTATTGGTGTTTGGTGGCCTTATTTTCGTGCCATATATTTATGGTAAAACAGATTTTGCACTTTTTTCCTTGAGTTCCTTGACTCTTTTCACGCTTAGAGAGCATGTCAACAAATTGCAACTGCTAAAGTCACCCGAAGAGCGCAATCGAAGAATTTCCGAAATCCCAGAGGTTCACGTTGACCCAACAATGAATCCAGATTATGAATCGGAAGAAGATGCCGGAAGTGGCAACATTATTAGTAAAGCAGGTAATATCATTGGTCTTTTACAGTCTTGAAATTTTTTTCTATTTGTAAATTGAATTTTTTAATGTTTCGTTAATTTTGAGTTTCTGATGCTGCACTTCAATGTACAGAAGAACATGGAAAACCAAGCTACTCGGATTGTCCTCCAAATGGAAGGAAGCCTATTTCTCCAAGGAAAAAAGGTGAACCGTTAGACCCTACATTGTATATGATTTTTCAAAAATTCTTTTCTGTTACATATATAACATTTCTCCACTATTTTCTATTCTAATGGAATTTTGACCACACAAACTTCTTGAATTACTTCTTTGCTCAGATAAAGAAGAAAGGACATACCAGACATGGAATAGAGTGATAAAGAAAATCAAGGCAGGCGGATCGAGTAGTTCGGACAAAGACGCAAATCATGTAAATATTACTAACTCAGCTACCGGTAGTAAAACTGATGAAGTCATCCAAAGTTCTGGATTAGAGAACTCAACAGTGACTGCCTCAGTGGGAAATTCACCATCGTCCAGTATAATAGAAACCGAGAAATTATGGCACTATCGAGATCCTAACAGTAAGATTCAGGGACCATTTTCCATGATTCAGCTGAGAAAATGGAGCACAACTGGATTGTTTCCACCTGACATGAGAATATGGACGAATCACGAGCAGTACGACTCATTGCTTCTCACAGATGCCCTGAACGGGAAATTCCACTTGGCCTCAGATTCATCAAATTCTGGCATGCGGCAAGAGGAAGTTGCGCCAGGAGAAGTTGAGGTTCCAAGTGAGGGTACAAATGGCAGCAGTGGAGGAGATAGTGAACAAACAGAGCCACCAACCTTGGCTACTAATAATACATCCGAAAACAATACTGAGCCCGTAAAGGAAGATGCATCTGGCTCATGGCCACAGTGTTGGGATTTGCTCAAGGATAACAATGATAGTTCTGAAGTCCACAACGATGCCAAGGCACATGATTTGCTTCCTTCATCTAGTCTTGAGAATACACAACCTGTTGTCCTGCAAGATCAGTGCCAGGAGAATGAAAATGGAGAAAAAAGCTCAACTGGGCCCACTGAAAGCCCAATCACCATTGTGCAGGACCTTCAAAATCAATCCAAGAACGATGAATGCGTGGGGCCCATACCTTCAGAATTCTTAAAATCTCTGACCATTGACCTGGGATTGGAGGATGACATCGAAAACGAGCCTGTCTGTGCCCCCCCTGATCCGGATAATAAACACAATGCTAGCATACCTCTCTCAGATCTACTACTTAGCCCTGCTACGTCGAAGCCAGCCGAAATCCAGCCGGATGTCCCCATCCACAACTTCGAAATTCTGGAGCTGCTCAGCCCAACACCAAGGCCCAACACCGAGGACCATGCGCTTCAGCCGTCAGCCGAGACCAAATTCGTGAATTTCCCCGACCTGAACCCGGCCCAAGTCTGGAGCAACCCATCTGGGCTGGGCCCGGGCGAGGTCCAGCTCCCGGGGGTTGACAATGACTGGTTCGGGTATTCACCCGCTCCTCCCCCAAAACCCCCCACCGCGGATGCTGGCCCATCCGCCGCCCCCCCAAACAACTGGCTGACAATAAGCGAAACGATCGAGTTCGACTCTCTCGGCGAGGAATACGTGTCTGATTTACTAGCTGAGGTGGACGCCATGGAGTCGCAGCAGCAGGGCACGGCCCGCGTCCCGTCCCCAACCGCTGCCATCAAGTTCGCCCGAGAGCTGATGGAGGATTGCAGGGATGATGACTGCTTCAGCTCTATCGAGGAGTTCAGCCGCCGGAGCGACGCCCTGAGCTCGACAACCGGCGGCGGGTGCGGTGGGTTTCCGGTCACGTCCGGGCACACACCACCGGCCCTGGCACCACCCAAGCCTGCGGTCAGCACGTTCGATTTTCTGACGAGGTCGAGTGTGCACTCGTCGGCGAGCAGCGAGGGGGAGACGATGAACAACTTCGGCGGCGTGGGCCCCACTTGCTCGGGAGATGCCGGGTCGGAGTTCCACCCGCCTGCGGCGCCACAATATGAAGTTGGTCCACCTGGGCCAGTGGCTGACGGGGCAGATCCCGGTTGGGGGGCAGTGCAGGGGAACATCAATTTGGTGACGGTGCAAGGGAATGTGAATTTAGTACTGGGTGGGCCTGCAGGGCTTGGAGGGTGGGG